ATAAGAAGCGATGGGGAGTACAACAAATACGATCTTATCCCACTCCCATCATTTTTTTGAATGGCCTTCTTGATCAGAAAGAGAAGCCCAACTATACATAGCATTATATTAATGAGTTAATTGTTTGAATACTCACTGAACTTTAAAGGACGTCACGTTTTACTCACTGAACTTTACTTTGCACCCAATTACTCACTGAACTTTAGAGTTAATTGTTTGAATACTCACTGAACTTTAAAAGACGTCACGTTTCACTTACTGAACTTTACTTTGCATCCAATTACTCATTGAACTTTGTAAACTTGCACTCCATCACTCATCGGGTTAAATAGTTAATTGTTTGAATACTTACCGAACTTTACAAGATGTCACATTTCACCCACTCAACTTTACTTTGCACCCAATTGCTCACTGAACTTTGTAAATTTGTACTTCATCACTCACCAGGAACTATTTGTTCTGTTTGCCTATGTGGATGACGGCTTTAACACGTGACAGTTAAATTAGACAAACATAACAATGAATTGCCAAATCATATATCCAAAAGGACCCAAACATGCCTCACCGTTTTCAACACATAAATCGCGATTGGAACCCTAATCTCTTAAAATAGACCGCTTCGAAGGTGAATTTTAGTATATCGCGATTGTTGTTTCTTCTTTTTCGCCTTTACTGGGCATAGCATTTTTGAGTGAAAATGGTGAGATATGTTTGGGTCCTTTTGATATATGATTTGGCAATTCATTGTTATGCTTGTCTAATTTAACTGCCACGTGTTAAAACCATCATCCACATAGGCAAACAGAACAAACGGTTCCTGGTGAGTGATGAAGTACAAATTTACAAAGTTCTGTGAGTAATTGGGTGCAAAATAAAGTTCAGTGAGTGAAACGTGACGCCCTTTAAAGTTCAGTGAGTATTCAAAAAATTAACTCCAAAGTTCAGTGAGTAATTGGGTACAAAGTAAAGTTCAATGAGTGAAACGTGACGTTCTTTAAAGTTTAGTGAGTATTCAAACAATTAACTCTTATATTAATCAAGCCAAAAGTATCGCATTAATGTAGCGAGGGAAATTCTTTTTAAGAGAAAATCAGAATATTTGATGCTACAAATTTGAATTACCCAATAATAAATGAGAAAAGAGTGATGTTTTATTTTGGTTTGCAACAGGAGAAGTAAAGAATACAGAATATTTGGTCTGGAAAATCTACATTTCTTGTGCAATAAATAAACTTATTGCAAGTTGTGTATATATATACTTTTTTGTAAAAAGAGGGAATAGAATAACTTTGAGTTTGAGGCGCCTATCAAACCAAAAACAGGCCACACAATCTAAATATCTAATGGGCCCCGTGTCGCCAACTAGCCACTATTGTTTTGACTTCACGGACCACTGCCGCTGCCCGTTCCCACTCTGCGTGCTTTGCCCCGTTTGACCCCAATCTCATTTTTTTTTTTTTTTTTTTTTTTGTTTTTGACCCTTTATCTTATTTCTAACTACGCAATTTTTCATAAGAAAATATTACGCGTAAATAAAAAACTTTTTTTTTCCTTCAAACACACATTTATATAATAAAATAACTGTTCTACACAAATAGGGCCTAGTGACGGGCCCTTTGACAGGGGCTGAGATGGCTCAGCCTCAGCCCCTGACCTGAACCATGACTGAGCCACCTTAGCCCCTATCAACAGGTCCTGTTCATTTAAAATTTTTCTAAATAAAATATTCTGTACATAAATTTAAAGTTTCTTCTTACTTTCTAATCACACATTTTCCAAAAAATTTATTATTCAAAACTTTGTTATTGCAAATAATAGTCATCAAACAGGGCCTTTGTATCTTTTTCTTTAAAGTATGATGCGCTTTGGCTAACTGATTTATATATAAGGAGAAACTAATTTTTAACCCACTCTTTTCAAGAATTCATAAACGGTTTAATTTATAAATAGATAAAAATCAGTAACTACTAAGTGAATAGTAGTTTTGAGTGCATTAAAATTGTGGTTAAAAATAAAAATTGGACCATTTAGATTAATTATAAATTAGCTAAACGCATCCTTAATTATGCTTTACGAACAAGTAAGATCACTCTAATATTTAGGGTTGGACAAAAGTTTTCAGAACTATTGGATTGAAGTAGAATCAAATTTGGATATGTCAATTTTGTTTGATTCTCCTAAAGTTCTAATCAATTATAGGTATTAAGTTCAGTTTTCGATTCCAAAAAAAAAAATTTAATAATAATAATTTTATTTTTAGGTTAATGTTTTTAGTTCCTCATAGTATAAAGAAAATAGAAGTGATATTAAAATGTGTTTTTAAAGAACCCATTCAAGCTAATAGTTAAGCATTTGATGTAGATTGTTGTGTTTAGTTAAACATAGAAATTTCAAATCATTAACATCAATATAATTGTTTTAATTAATAGATTATAGAGAATCTAGATATTAAACAATTATAACTTAAGAACATGTATAATTAGACGTTTCATTTGCAAGGGTTAGAGAATTTAAAAACATAACACAAGATATCAAGTGGTTCGGTTATATATATATATATATATATATGAAACCAATTGTTCCATTTTCTAAATATCTATTGGTACTCAGTTTGGTTAGATTCTTTTTAAAATTTGATCGAATAGAAAATGCTCTTCTTCTATTAATTTTTATGATAAATTGAATGAAAAACATAAATTCCTGTCGACTAAATAAATCGACATATAAGGATTTGATCTAATCCTTTTGTCAAGATTGTCATTTTAAGATGAAATCATACGTTTACATAGCCCATTAAGCTCTAACAGAAAATTCAATGGATTAAGACTTAATAAGCCCTCGAATTTAGACATCAATATGGTCAAATGAGCAATTATCTTGTGGAGTATGTCAAGAGATAAATCTTATATCAAATAAATACTAAAATATAGATTAACATATAATAATTTGAGTTACCGTCTTTAGCAAGATTGATATTTTAAAATGAAACCCCCAAACCTAATATTGCAACAAAAAGAAAAAGTTTGGGATTAAATTGCCTCTATTTGAAGGTTTGAGATCAACTTACTATTTTTCTTTCTTTCATAAAAAAATTTGTTTATATTTTTCATTTATTTCATTTCTCTATTTCCTTTTCACTGATACAAGTATTTAAAATAATTTCGAAGAGACTCTATATTTTCAAAAAGTATACTTATAATTCAGAGAGCAAATTTTTTTAATGCTCCAACAACCTCTTTATCTTTATCACTTAATTTTATTTATCGCAATATGTATTTATTGTTTTTTTCTATCTTTTATTTTCACCAACTTCCCTTCAAATTATTATTTTATTTTTCTCAATTTTCTTTGTATATACTATTTAATTGAGTCTGAAAATTAGAATATATTTTGAATGCACTTTGAAAATTGGAATATTTAAGTGAGTCACTAAATGTTAATTTAAAAAGTCTTTTGGAGCATAATTTCAAGAATTGACTTTTTAAAATAGAGAACGTTTCATTTTTAAAGAACTTTTTGAAGATGCTCATGAAAGATAGACATGTTAAAATCACACACTTATTTTGGAGGTAATTAAACCAAAACAAACTACAGCATAACATTTAACCCATGATTGGGTCGTTTTGAAAAGTATATTAAAATTAAAGTCAATGTCAACGATTAATTTTAATCATACATTTCATGGGATCAATAACTTTCAACTACACATTTCATCAATTTGTGTTAAAAATATAAATTTTATATAAACCAAACAGGTGATATTATGTAATAAATTTTTGTCGTTTTAATTTGGACTAATAAGATAACTTAATCACCTATAAATTAATATCGTCTATTATGGCCCCATTTGTTACCCATTTTTGTAAGAATGAAAATGAAAAATATAGTCGTTATGAGACCCACACAAAATATAGAAAGTGAAATACGATGACTTGATATGATGGATAACAGTAATATTTTTCATTTTTTTGGCCAAAAAATGATAATCAAACAGGGTCTATATGATAAAAAATCTCAATTCCAATCTTATTAATTTATGGAAGTTATTGGACTGAAGTTTCACCCTCTACTAGGAGTCTCAATCTCATTGTGGCTCATCATAATCTCGTACATCTCTTCGGTAAGATATTGCATCACCAATTAGTTGATCAGAAACAAACTACTCTTTGGACATATTCCTACTCTGCATCTTACCGATGATTAATCGTAAGTTCTAGATATCATTTTCACCCAGTCCCCTCTAACCCATTTCAGTTTTTTATGAGTAAATTCTTTTTTACAAGTCAAAAATAAAATAAAATTATATGCATATTATTATTTTTTTAAACATATTAGTCCAACTAATTTTCTTCTTAATATGATCCTGAATCCGCCTTACAAACAAATTTTAACGCGTTATTCACTTACCTCCACGAATAGAATAACAAAAGTAAAGGCCCCCAGGGCATATCTCCCAGTGGCAAAGGGGAGGGCGGATAGGGCTCAGCGCAGCAGTGTGCAGAGTTCGATTCCCCGCAAAGGTGGAATTGGCTTTGTTGCAAGCGGGAGTTACCATATGAGTTAACAGTCTTGGTCTATTCATGTGCTCTCCACCCTGGCTCCTGGGAGGCACATCCTGCGATTTACCTTCTCCACGATGGCTCAGGGCAGGATCGGTGGGGGCCCCTAAGGTTGGGGTTCAACCTTTTAACAAAAGTAAAGCAGCCTCATTTTTGTCATAAAAATATATTTTTGAATAATGTATTGATGTAAAATGTGTGGTTAAAAATAAAGAAAAATTTTAAATGTGCATTTAATATTATTTTATTGAAGAACGCATGATTGAAATAACATTAAAATACTATTTAAAAATGATTTTTTTTTCAAAGGAGGAGGCTGCAAAATATCTCGACTTACAAATTGAAGACCCAACGTAAATTACGATTGTAGATCGTAAAACAGTCTTTTATATAACTTTTGTACCTATCGCAACCCTTTATTACACGTGACAATGGAAACCCTGTCGCGGACAGTCTTGGCTGCATTCATATGTACATTGCACCACATGACAAAGGTATCGAAAAAAAGTTCATTTTCTCTCTCCCTGTCTAGCTTTTTTACTTTTTCTTAACTTCTCTCTCCTTCCTCGATGCTTTCTTCAATGGCGAATCTCCATTTTCAACGTCTTCACCATTTTCTCAGCTTTGCAGTTCTATTATGTCTGGTTTCGGTACGGTTCTGTATAGTTTCTTCAGTGGTTCTGTTTGGTTTGAGGAATCACCAGAAGCACCCACACCATAGACACCCAATGCTCTCAGCCAATCAGAGTTCATGCTCATTGTTCATGGGCAACTGGGTTCAGGACGATAGTTATCCATTGTATCAATCTTCTTGTCAATTCATAGACCCACAGTTCAATTGCCAAATGTACGGCAGACCCGACACCGATTACCTCAAGTATCGATGGCAACCTGCCAATTGCGATATCCAGAGATTCAACGGCCTTGATTTCGCGATGAAAATGAAAGGGAAAACTGTGATGTTTGTGGGTGATTCACTGGGGCGTAATCAATGGCAGTCGTTGATTTGCATGATATCTGCTGGGCTTCCTGCGGGATCACCTACGCAAATCAGCAAAGGATATCCTCTCTCTACCGTCAAGTTCCAGGCAAGCCTGCAGTTTTGTACAATTTCCAATGGGAAACTAAACCCCACTGTTAACTAACTGTTTATTAAAATGCAGGAGTATAGTGTGACGGTGTCGTATTACAAAGCTCCATACCTTGTCGACATTGATATCGTACAAGGGAAAAGAGTGCTCAAATTAGATGACATAAGAGGGAATGCTAATGCTTGGAGGGGTGTAGATGTGTTGTTGTTTGACACCGGTCATTGGTGGACTCACAAGGGATCAAACCAAGGGTATAAAAATTTCGTAGTCGGGCTCGACTCGACCGGACTCAATATTGTGATATTTTTTGTCTAATTCGATGTATCGAATATTTTTGTTTGTGGTGATGATGCAGGTGGGATTATATGGAATCAGAAGGGAATTTTTACCAAGACATGGATCCATTAGCTGCTTTAGAGAAAGGGCTAAGAACGTGGGGAAGATGGGTTGATAGCAACATTGACACCACCGTAACAAAAGTTATTTTTCAGAGTATTTCTCCATCACATTACAAGTATGTTTTTATCTGGACCCATCAATCTGTTTTTTTCTTTGTTGTCTATCTTTTTACCTTATTGGCTACTGAATTCAAATTCTCTCTCTCTCACAAATTATTGTTCCTGAAGTGCCAGCTCTATTTTCTCTGTACCGCGTCTAAATTTTGACCGACTTATGGAAGAGGAAATGTAGCCCCTCTTTGTGGACATTATTTTCATTTTAAAGAGTTTTAAATGTATATTTTAGTAGAATGTGTAGTTAAAAAATAAGGAAAAATTTTGAACTTACGTACAAAATGTTTTATTGTGTTATTGTGTGGTTAAAAATGATATGGTAGAATCGAACAAGTGCTTATTAAGAAGGACGAAACTTTGACACTAGAATAGGACTGTTAAGTGGGACAAGAGGTTTGCCTTCTCTCATGAGTTGGCTTGTAAGGGAGCCGAGAGCCGACTCGTCATCATGAGTGAAAAATGCAAGTACTAGAGCCTGTTTGGGCCCTATTTTTTCGCCCAAAAAATTGATTTTTTGACCGTTATTTCACTATTCCAGCCATTATATTTGACTTCTTCTCTCACAGGTGGACTCACTTTTTTCTTAACGGTCAAAAAATCAATTCTCAAAATCACTCCCAAACAGGCTCCTAAAAAATTAAAAAAAATAAAAAAATGAACATATTGGCGAGTTGTGTGCTACACTTCAGTTGAACGAGTCAGCTCACCCTCGACCATTTAATACCCCTAGAATTATGTTTTTTGATAAAAATTTTTTATTAGAGATCGTTTTTTTTTTCAACTTTAGAAGAATTGGGTGTGTAAGGGTTCACTGAGAGGAGTAATGGATCACGTGAAATGTGAGAATAATAAGTAGGGAGTAATTTTGAATATGTGGTAAATTAAAGTTTGACTGGAAATTATGATTAACTAGTAATGTTTCCAAAAAAATTATTCTGTTTTGACTCAGAAAATATTTATTCTGCACCAAGAGTTCATATTCAGTCCACTTCTAATTTTTAGCTCACTGTAAAATTTAATTCTAATACCATCACTGAACATAATAAATAGATAATATATTCAATTTTGAGTTTTCTGTTACATAAATAAGAAGGGTGGAAATATGGAGTGAAGAAAAACAAACATATGTATACTTAAAGAGTCAATGTTGACTCGAGTAAGGTTCTTTTAACTGTGACCCAAAATGAGAATTTTTCTTTTTTTAAATAAAAGAAAGAAGGGTAAAGTAATAGAATCTAATACCAAGCAAGTAGGTCATTCATATACTGCGGATAACAGCTATAATTTCCAGTTGCTGCTGGTGCAACTTGGACAAAGATATATGCTGCGGATGACAGCTATAATCTCCAGTTGCTGCTGGTGCAACTTGGAGAAAGATAGAACTCAAACTTATTGAACTAGGGTCAGGGTCAAGTTGCCAACAAAACCCGCAAAACATTATGCCCCTGTTTGATCCCCAATATCTAAATATATTTTTTTTTTTCAAATTTATTTTCAACTATACGTTCTTACAATAAAATATTTTGCACATAATCCTAAAACTTTTTTCTTACTTTTTAACCACAAATTCTTCAGAAAATTCACTATTATAAAACTCATTTTCAAGCAAAAAAGGGGCTCAAAGCCTCAAGCACGGGGTATGTCATTCAATCATTCTAAGCTTAAGAGGGTTTCGAAGCAATTTTGACTGGCGTAAGTGCACATGTCCCACTTATACCTACTTGCACAACTGTGGATAACATGAATAACATGTTCTTATCTAGCGTACCAGAACATAGACCTGATCAAAATTTTGATGAAGAAAGAGTATAACACAAACCTGGGATGTACAGAAAATGTTTCCAGCTTGGTATGAACAATTATATGGCCTATAGTTGCTCTGAAATGTCCTTTTTGTCTTATAAATACTAATGAGTGGACTAAGTGTCTCACTGTATTTGCTAAATAACGGATGAACAAAATTTCTTAATTGTCTTGTCTAAAGTAGTCCATCTTTATGTATCAAACATGCACTACCTGAAGCTAATACCAACCTTGCTAGTTCATCAGCAAGACAGCGATAATCTCACAGTTGCTGGTGCAGCTTGAACAAAGATCAGAAAACATTAATTGTCACTCAATCATTCTTAAGACAATTCATTAAGGCTTTAAAGCAAACAAAATTGGTTTTAGCATGCATAATTGCTGTCACACGTCCCATACCTACTCGCACAACCACGATTCCAAGGTCAACATATTTTTAGCTAGTTAGATTATACTTCATGACATGTTTGATAAGATAGAGCGAACAATGCTAATGATCTAATAATAATTTTAGCTTGGGTGGCAGCCCGAGCGAATGGAATGCAGGGGCAGTAACAACCTCCAAGAGCTGTTATGGTGAGACGACACCAATGAATGGTGGCAGTGCGGCCTATACTGAGGGTGATTCGGATCAAACGAGGGTGTTGGAAACAGTTCTAAGAGACATGAACAACCCTCCCTTTCTACTTGACATAACATTGCTATCAGCAATGAGAAAAGATGCACATCCCTCAATCTACAGTGGAGATCTCACCCCGGGACAAAGAGCTAATCCTGACCATTCAGCTGATTGTAGCCATTGGTGCCTTCCTGGGTTGCCAGATACTTGGAATCAACTCTTATACACTGCTTTATTCTTTTTACATTAGTGCATGTTTGGTACTAGATCTTACTAAACTCCACAATGGGCGATGCTGTCTAATTCTACTCACTAAACATGTCATTAATGTAGTAGCGTTATTAACCCCTACTCCCTCCCAATCCCACACCACAACACCTGTTCTACAATTATAATTGTATTGCTATATATAGGTAGTAATTTTAATCCATTCAACAAGAGAATGCAAGTTCCCTCGTCGTTGCATACAAAATGTTAGGGATAACAGCTGGTGATTTATTTGGTTGTGAAATGAACCCTTAGAGATGTAGAGAAAAAAATGCAGTTATATGAGCATATGCAATTTCCTTTTCTGCACTATTTCATGTTTGGGAAAGCTTAAATAATTCACTTACAAGTAATAATTAAGTTAAAGTTCCAAGTTAGAGTTGTAAATAAGTGGATTACTTATTTTGAAAGTATTCTTTAGTTTACTGTCAAAATAAATAATTTATTTTTTACATGTAAGAAAGAGGTAAACTATCCAATCAAAATTTTATGTTTAATCTACTTTTATTGGATTGAATTGCTTTTTGAAGCTTAAAGAGCCATTGAGCTCTCATAGCAAGGCCAGTGCTCAACTTTTCATTGCCTCTTCTACATGCTATTTAGAGGCGAATATGGTCTGAAGCGCCTCGTCTGGAAAAGTTTTGTGGCGATCCATTACCTCTACATTGTACCTTTTATTCGAGGTGATGGACATCTAAGCCTCACCTCGGCCAATATTACAAAGTACATTGCACAAAGTGGTTGATGTGATAGTCCTACAAGTGAAGTGACGACACCTTGTCAGATAATAATTTTCAACATCTGTGAGCCACGTGCCTATAATGGCTATGGATTGACACAATTGTACTTGACAATGAGTTGTTAGGAAAAGGTTACGTGTCAAGTTTTCTATTAGCCTTGACTAATCTCTCTTGGCTATGCATAGTTACACCTAATGTCATATAAAGATAATTGAGATTGAGATAAAATAGATGTCCAAACTTGACACTCATATTTTCGTTTATTGTGTTTCTTGCACCCTCAAATATTGTTTGTCATTATTATCATGTCATGTGGACAAAGGAAGTGATTCTCCTAATAGTAAAGACTATTTCCTTTTTTATTTTGAATTTGAATTTTGAAATAGTATAATATAAAAATATTTATCGAGCATTAAAATTTTAAGCGATGTCAAAGTTTAGAAATTGAAAAACGATCTACCAATGAGAAGTAATGCCTTGTTGTGGCAGCCCAAAATCCCTCAATGGATTCGCGTTTACGTTTGAAAAACTTTTTGACGAGAGTAATTTCCCAAGTAATGCTTAGTCAGCTTCCAAAATTGGAAATGGATAAAGCAAAGGAAGTGTTCCCACAGGAACTTGAAGAAATGTTGCCACATGATAGATTAGGCGAGTTGTGATCCGCTATTCAATTTATTGTCCATTTAATTATTATCGACACATCATTTTAAATTAATATGTCATCTATTTTAATTTTCCAACCAACTTTTTAATATACTTAACTACTTTCTCTCTCGCAGCATCTCAATTTCATTATTTTTTTCTGTTATCTACAATATTTTTGCATCATTTTTGTGTTAATCTTTAAGGGCCTTTACAGCCCCATGTGATCCCCCCGCCCCCCCCCCCCCCCCCCCCCACA